GAGATAAGGCATTCTAACACCAAGCAAAAACAACACTGAGGGGCAGAAACCATACCCACACAAATTTTATTTGGAGGGCTCTACATTTATTTTTGTTTCTCTTTTTTTTTTTTTAATATTGAATGAAGAACAAATAAGTTTATTTGTGATAAATCGGGATTTAATTATTTTTGTTACCAGTAAACTTTCTCCACATACTAATTTTTTAGTTATTGATTCCTACCTGCACGATTCTTTAAGGCATTCAGGATTTAAGCATTTAAATAACTTGTCTTCAAGGTCAGGCATGATGGTGGCAAAAGGACAGAAGGGGCAGGTAACCAGGTCTGGAATGTTGGCCTGCTGCACCTCCTCTTCTTGTATGCGGCAAACAATTTTAGAGAATAAGTTGGCCGGAATGATAGACTGTAGAGTGTTCAGTGAAATATTTTGGTCACATTCGCCAGTAAGGCAGGGAAATCTGAAAATGTTCAAAGTTTGGGATGTGATTTGAATTTCTGATAATTAAACAGGAGAAATCCTATTATTTGGATGTAAATCATCGAAGCTGTCAAAATATCTTGGTGTGGACTATTTCATTTTTACTAATTTACGTGCAATTACACACACACATATTTGTTCTTTTTTATGCTTTGATTCAGTGATTCTTACATGTAATACTGAATGGGTACATATTCTTCTGTACACATAAGACCCAAAAGAGACCAGAACACTATCCAGCTCAAAGCTATTTTAATAGGTTAAATTCTCTTTGGCACCTGAGCTGGCGTCACTGTGCAGTGGTGCCAGAGACAGCAGTGCACTTGCTTGCTGAGTCCTCGGCAGTAACGAGTGGTGAAGTTGGGAACACTCCCGAATTCCATTTTTAAAGTCTAATTTATGGCAAAGACCAGCGGGCATGCGTGCCTATAATGTGCTTAACTGGGTGGGGTGGGGGGGCATAAAAAAGAGTGATATGAGCGTATGTGAATTTGATATTGCCATGCACTTCTTTCTGTCAAGTTACAAAAATGAATTTTTTTCCCACTCAGCTCTTTTTATTCCCCCATCTTTCTATGAAGCAATACTTAGGGGTTATTGAGCTTAATGAACTAATTAAAATTATCTAAATTTAAAAACATCATAAGTTTGCCCAAGATAAAAAGAAAATGTGGTGAGTAATGATAATAAGAAATATACAAAGGGTAGAGGAAAATCTGAAGAAGGACAATAGCACAAAGTGATTCTTTCTGTGAAATAATAATTAGGTCTTAATTTTTACAAATAAGTCTTGTCGTACTTAATTTTCATTTCCCCAAAGGCTGCTTCAGTGGACCTAAGAACACATGTTTTGCAAAACAGATGACCATCCGGGCAGCTCGCAAGTTCATCAAACAGGCATTCATCAAAGCAGCAACAGCACTCATAGTTCTCTCCTCTAAGCTTTGCCTCCTCTATCTTTAATTTTCTTTCCAGTTCTTTTTGCTTTGGGTAATCTGTGTTGAGAGGATGGGAAATGCCAAATTTAGACTTTTGGCTAGTGGCTAGTGAGTTTGACAGACAGAACTGACATCATCACGATTTAATGTAACCTGTGGGTTGTCTTTAAACAGACACTTTTTTTTTAACTTGTATGATACAAGATACTTATCAAGACACAAAACACAATGCTATTTTAAGTCTTTAATTAAAATATAATGAGGTATTGCAATGATTTTGTCCTAGTGTATTTCAATAAATAACAATGCAGCAAGATTTTCATTATTTTCTAAAGCATCCAGCTCTTTAGCATTAGATGGTCCATTTCAGTACAACAAGGTAGAGAAAAACAGTGTAAAACTAAAAATGCTGTTTGAGGCCCCTAAATTTAAAGTCATGGCGCAAGTATGAACCCCATTAGGACAAAACTTGAGGATTAATATTTAAGTTTCAAGGACAAATACCTTAATATAAAATGGATTATTTGCACCAGCATCATTCAAAACAAAAACAAAAAAAAAACATTTAAAAACCATCTTGCTCACCCATAACACTCAGCTCATTATGTATAAACCAAAGTTCATGGTAAAAATATTCATCAACCTTTTCCGGCAAAGGAATTTTTGAAATTCTTGCCGATCTCACAAAATTATAATGATGTCGGCGTTCATCTGGAAAAGTATTTCAGAATGTAAAAAGCATCAAAAGTTTGGTATAACGCTGCACGGCTAATCCCAACAAGCTAGTAAAAAAAAAAAAAAAGGTTTAAGAAGCATAAAAATGTGTATGCTTTATGTTAGAGATCAGCAAAGGTGTGGTCATCATGCATTAATCAAACAAAATCTTTTCTTTTTTTTCCTTCTTACCCTTAATACTCTAAAAAGATGATCTTAAGCAATCTTAAAAATTAAGAGTGTATCTTCTAAATTTTATTCAGAGTTAATGATACCTGACCTTAAATTTATTTTAAATGTATTCTTCATATCTTAATTAAACGAAAATGTAAAATTTTGATTAATCGCCAACAGCCTTTTGCAAGCAAAGATTTCAATCAAACAATTGTCTTAGAAATATATTTATACCAGGTGTTATGAAGATTGAACTCACTAATTGGTGTATGGACAACATGTTCAGATATCTCTTGGTACGCTGGATACAAATGTCCTGTGTGCTTTGCTAAAATCTTCCTGAGGTATCCTACTCTTAGCATTGGGAATTCATTTTTCAAACATATCTCTGCATGTTCCAGGTAAAGCTCGGAGGGCTGCTTTTCTAAACTCATAAATGTTTTCTTTGCATCTGGAAATTTTTGTAAAAATTCTGGCACTGTCATATCTCGTTTCGAGGCTATCACTTTCCTCTCTTTCTCTTTCTCTTTTTCCAGTCGGACCTTCAACTTTGGATAGTTTCTGTCCTCAATAAGTTTAGCCGCTACAATATCTGTCCGTTTTGGTTCATTTTTCATGGCCTCAAGCTGCTCATAGAGGTAGTCTGGATCACAGTCAGGAAAAATCATTTTCATTCTCTCAACTTCCTGATCAAATGTTTCTGGTGAAAACAAAATGGTTTAAATACATGTTTATTGATTATCACTGAATTAGTAATAAACTATTTTTAGAGTTAGAGGGACGTCTGTGGGTTGGATGCACTCAATCACCAGCCCCACCTGTAAGATTGGGCACATTCTAAAGAACTTGTTCTTTTCCTAGATGCACCAACTGTTAAGAAAAGCACAATTATTTCTAATAATTACTATACATTTTTTTACTTAAACGATGTAATGTTAATTGTAATGCAATGATTTTTAAGCCTAAACAGAAATTACCTTCCGTTTCTTTCGATAACCCTTTGCCAACAAAACTCGGATGACTCATTAGTAAACCCAGGCCTTGAGTTTGCTGCTCCAAGTCATTTTCAGCATTGATTAATTCATTAATAACAACTTGAAGCCTGTCACTTTTATTATAGTGTGCTTCAAGAAAAGCATAGATTTCATTTCTGTCCCTTTCAGGAAACATTTTGGCTATTGTTCTCATGTCCCTAAAAAGAGGATCGTTTGCAAGCATGGGATCATCAATAAATGAACTGTCTTTCTTTGGCGGGGGAGGGTGAGGAGTATTAAATTCCCCTGATGCTGCATGCTTTTTAAGTTTTGTAACAACTGCTTTGGCACGATTTTTGCGAGGAGGAAGCGACTCGAGCATTGCATAGACTTCATTGGCATCGGCAGATGGAACTTCCGACATCACATGCTGAAGGTCTTTAAAAATATCCCCCGTTGTTACATTTGGGGAAGGCGTAGAATTATTCGCCTCTAAAAGTTGGACTGTCACAAAATCGAGCCTGTCTTCTCGGTCCTGGTGGTCAAGCAGAGTATCATATATTTCATTTAAATCCTTATTTTTGACGATACCTGCCACTATATCGGCATCTCTGATGATGGATGCACTCTTGTGGAGATGTATTTTCTTTTCCAACTGCTCTGGTTTTGTTTGTGCACCGAGTAATGTTGCTGAAGCACTTTCTGGTGTCACGGAAACAGATCCATTTTTCACAACCAACGTTTCACTAGAATTGTTAATATTATTTTCATTTTTGAGGACTTTAGGATCTGGCTTTGGAATAGCTTCCCCGGCTTCACTGATGTTCATATTCTTCTGTTTGATGTCATCATTATTATTTTCAGGTTTCACTTCCAATCCAAATTCATTTTCAAGAGTATCATCAACTTTCATTTCCTCAAAAGTGTCAGGCTCATTGACAGAGGAGTCCTCAAGGGTTTCAGCAGGACTACTTGGATCCTCATTCTCATTAAGACTCACAGCCTCCCATTTTGCACCACCTAATCCCGTACATGACTGCATCACATGACCATTTTGATTAGCAGATGTAATGAAACTGCCATCTGGCTGTCCTTGTTTGTCAACATTTAGCCTATAATTTAAATGGAAATCAGTTCCACTTTTGCTAGAGCTCTTGCTGTCTTCTTTATTTAAATTATTATAAGTATAATCTGGTGCTAAAGATGAAGGCTGAGCAGCAGAAAATTGTTCATTCGACAATTTGGCCCTTTTGGGTGGAGTCGGCTCTGACTCTGCATCTGAGGTATTTGGAGCGCTTCGCTTGCTCTTTTGATCCAGCCAGTCATCTGGCACTGACAACTCATCGAATGAATCATCATCATCCATTTTTCTGTTTAAAATAAAAAGCAGAAATAAGAAACACTTTTAGAGAATTACATTTTAGAATCAACAAATTAATTTTTTTGATAATTAAATTGAACTTGGTACTTTATTTTAAGTTATGAAATACTACCGCCTGGTAAGTGCCAAAACTATAGCCGATTAAAATAATATTTATAATATTTTTAAAAATTTGTCTTTAACATTGAAAATATTCTAATACAGCTAACCGTAATGTTAAGTAATCAAAGTTTTACAAGTGGCCAGGAGTCCAACTTGCTATACTTCCTATGAAAACGAATTACACCCATATTATGGCAGCCCATGTTTTGAATTCTATAACTAGCCAAGACTACGATTTAAAATGATTGCAACAACAGGGAGAGCTCACAGAGTGAAGGCTGTGGTGGACTTATTTCATTTTTTTGTTATCCCAAATAACGAGGAATATGATGCAAGAGTGAACTGTTGATGAAATTTCTGAGAGAAATATTGTTCTTTTCAGGTTGATATTATACAAGGTAATTCCTCTGACAACCAATTCAACATTATTTTTTGTATTTTATGTGCTGAACATAAAGGTGTTATCTGTCAGTGAGTATTTTGAGCTGTTTTAAGCACCGGTAATGATGGTACAGAAAAGTGACAAGTATTCTTTGGCCTTGCTCTCTTATTTATCCCTGTGGGTTCCATGATGGGAATCATCTGGTGATGCTGAGAGGGTGGGGGGGGGGGGGGCGGTGACGAATTTTGTGCCCTTTCCCCCTAGGGGGGGGGGGGGGGGGGGGGGGGGGGGGGGGGGGGGGGGGGGGGGGGGGGGGCGATGACGAATATTGTGCCCTATCCACCTCAATCTTTTCCTTGAGATGTCTTAAGCAATAGGCTCTTGATATGTCCTTGGCAGTTTGCTTTTGATGATGTTTGGCCATTTTATGATGAGGATCTTTCTCAGGCAAGTGTTTGTGAAGGTCTGTATTTTCTGCATGATGCTCAATGTTGTTCTCCAAGTTTCTGCTCCAGAGAGCAGGACTGATTTGACATTTGTGCTGAAAATCCTATTTTTTTCCTTCAGGGTCAGCTTCTTTGACTTCTACATTTTCTTTAACAACACACATGCTGACCTGGCTTTTCCCATTCTAGCCCTAACTACTTCTGATTCACAATATATGTCAATGGTGCTCCCCAAGTAGGTGGAGGTCTCTACCTCTTCCAGTGAATTTCCTGCCAAGGAGATATGGTCTTTTAGTTGAGTTTATCTTCATATTTCTTTTGCTTCCAATTATGTTGAGTCCAAATTGTGCCAAAGAAGTAACTACACCTTTTGTTGTTTCCTGCCTACATTTGTTTTTGGTTGTGGGACAGAACTGCAATGTTATCTGCAAGGTCTAGGTCATTCAAAGGAGGAATATGAAGGGGAGTCAAGAGACATTCTTGTCCGATTCCTGTTTTTACTTTAAAGGCATTTGTGAGTCTAACTTCATGTACTAGTCTGCATGTCATTCCTTCATAAGAATTTTGTATAATCCTGACAAGTTTTTTCTGGCACTACATAATGCTGGAGAGGTATCCACATTGTTTGTTAGTCCAAGCTATCAAGGCCCTTTTGTAATCAATGAACTTTACTTTTAGGGGGAATTCCAATCCATGGTCTTTTCTACAATGATGTGCAGTGTTATAATTTGGTCTGTGCATGATTGATCTCAGGCTCTTGTAGCTGCGTGTTGACCTGGTCTTACATTCTGTTCAGAATAATTCTATTGAAGAACTTTCCTGGTACTAACAGCAGTGTAAGTCCTAAGTAATATGCAGTTTTCTAAGATCCCTGTTTCTTTGTTATTTTGATACGTCATTCTTCTTTCCAATCTTTGGGAACTCTCACTTTTTTCTATGTCTTTTCAAACAGAAGGGTGTAGCTTGTTGACTATAGTTTCTATTTCTGCTCTCATCATCTCTGACATGATGTTACCTGCTATGGATGCTTACCCTAATTATTAGGGACACTGTTTAAAGTGTCTTCTCTTTGAAAATCTTCATCTGTATATCAAGTGTGTCTGTGAGTGAAGCTCTGTTCTGTAATGCGTCAAAGTATTCCAGTTCCACCCATCTTTTTTGATGTTCTTTAATCTTTACCATTATAGGTACTCGGATAAATCATTTCTCTGCTAGTGACAAATCATTGCCATTGCAGAGTTACACGCCCCTTGTTCAACTTTTTGCCCACTTGCAAATGTAAAAAAAAAATGCATATGCTTTAAGAATAAAATGCAATTAGCACTCATTTCTTTAAAATAGGTTGTGTGACATATCATTTTAAAGAGAATTGGATGCTGAACAATAGTGTGTTTTCCAATTTTTCCCTCAAGGTTTTTGTGTGTGCAAAATATATCAAGTTGAATTAAGGAAAGTCTATTTAATTTCCTGTATATTTCCCACCTGTCACGATTTTCATGATAACCACTGTTTTAAGTATCCAATTATCTACAAGGATGGGTAAAAAAATTTAACCCCACCCTACACTACACCATTAAGTTTCCAAAAAGTGACCACAGGGTATGATTATGATAACGACATTTCCTCCCTCGATATCATTTGTTTATTAAAGCTTGAAAATAAGAAGAAGCATATAATATGACCGAGGAGGACAACGCTCTCAAAAAGTCTATTACCAGTTTTTATTTTAGTCACTTTTATAGTTTCTTGTATGTCTAAATGAGCAGAATCATCCCAAAATATAATAGTTCACGCAAAAAATATTAACTGTCAGTGTCTTACAGTTACAGTGTCTTTAGTCTTTAGCATTGACCTACAGAGGCTGTCACGGTCAGCCATTATTTTGGTTTTAATAGTTTTTTAAAGCCCCATCTAAATAACTAGACTAGACCTTAATTAAAGCTGTTAAACTTTATTATGCAAATTTCGTCCAAGTACCTAACCAATATATAAATATAATGGCAATGGTAATAGTACTGTATGTATGGAGTATGGCATGGACTATGTTGTATTGTAGTATTTTTTTTAATGGGATAGCCGGGATAGCCTTTGCCTACTAACTTAACTTTAACAACTACATTATCATTCATTATTATTATAAATTAGTATAATAGTAATAGTAGGCTAAATAGTAGTATTAGTAGGCGTAGGCCTACAAATACATCACCTACTACAATTACAATATGAGTTCAAGGCTATATTTACATATTTCAAAGTACGCCCCTATACAAGTTACCTAAAAACAAATTATCTAGACCTATATATATTTACTTCATGGAATTTAGCAACCATATAGTTGAGAAAACAGACCAAAAAATACCAACATGTGTACCTTTGTTTATTTACTGAGTTTCGACATTTTTAAGTTCAGAATTTTAGATTTCATAACTGTTAGTGTTAGTGTTAGGCTTATGCATTCTGTGTGGTTATCTTTAACTCATTATGATTAAGATGAAAAAATACAATAATATATATTTTTAAAATTAATATATTTAGCATTTATAACTTTAATTAAACGTACTGACTTCAAGTAAAGTAAAGGGATTCAAAATAAATTATTATTCTATATTAGTTTTGTTACTAATAGTTATAGTTTTTTTTAAACCTTATTAAATACAAAATGGCGGCGTCCATGAACACCTTGAAAATCCCAATATCAGGATATTTATCTCGTTATTCAACCTATGCGTACAGTACTTTTATGGATAAATCTCAAGCTCGCAAATTTGGAACAACATGTTTACTAAGAATTAAAAAAAGTAATGAGTCGCTTCTAAAGGCCTATCAGCAGAATACTATATAGAATGTAGTAAATTGTTGTATTGTAGTTCAGTAGTTGTAGTCATTTTGATTTTTGTAGATGTTGGCTGAAGGCTGTAGTTCTCTGTAGTCTGTAGTCTACTGTCGTGGTGGTAGTTTTAGTCTGAAATGTCTGTATTAACACCGTCTGTAGTGACACCACAAAGTCCAGTATTATGAATTTTAGGCTATTTGGTATATTTATTTGGTTAATTTGGGGAGATAGCACCCTGACATCATTTGCATGTTTTCACCCTGTTTCTGATAGGGTCAAAACCCTGGTTCAGAATGAGATAGGGTAAAAACCCAGGTTGGGGATAAGTTTAAGGTTCAGGTTAGGTTTAGAATTTAGGGATTGATTTTTTAGGGTTCAGGGATACATTTAGGACATAAGTTCGCGAGTTGCGGCAACCAAGATGGCGGCCATGGTAAAAGACACGGTGCTATATATTACAAATTTACCATTTGGTTTGATCGGAATTTAATTCAGAACAGGGTCATGGATCATAGTCATAGCATAGGCCGTAGGCACTTCGGTAAAGCAAGGGAGACTACTTCAATTTTTTTTATTGGAAATGGCAATCTGCACAACAGAATCCGTGTTTTTAATTTTTGGACATTGGTGCTTTTTCATTGATGAAAGGAATATTTTGTCATAAAATTATGGTATTCATCGTCACATTACTCATTAACAATTTACAGTTACAGTAGTGGACATCTTGGCCGCTTCATGTCCATCGTAATTTTTTTGCCTTTTCATTCAACCCCAATATTAGAAATTCCTTGGTATATATAAGGCTTCTACTTCTTACCCTGCAAAATTTTTGAAGAAGTTCAAAATCTGTCTTTCATATTTAATATTCCTCAGCAATTTATTAATGTATGTGTGGGCCAATTCTCATTGGGTTAGGACATGTCAGCCATTAGTTATGCTCTTCCAAGCAACCTTTATTATCATAAGGTTACTCAGGCCAATTTTGACTACGCCCCCTCTTTAATTGCGGAAGATGCCAATACTTATGAAATATTAAATTATCCCCACTATTCATATCAAAATAGTTAGCAACTTGTGTTCTAGGATGAACTTAGAAGGCATTTAAACAAGAATATTTTAATTTTAGGTTTAAAACCCACTATAGTCCATATTATAAATTATCATAATTTGCTGTTTACAAAACGGCATGGGCAACCATTCACAGTCACTTGCATGTACTATACTACTATACTATTAATTTCATAGTTTCTCTCAGAAGAAATTGACTTTTGCAAGCACTATTAAATCATTGTTCACTTATAGCTTTAATTAATGAGTTATGTTTGAAAGTTCAAAATAAGTAGTCCCAAATAGTATAATTTTTAGGGGGATGCCTTGCCTTATATATTCTTTAAATATATGTATAATTTAATGGATAACTTAGACTTAGCGAACAGAAAATCCCTATTGTTTATTAAAATTAATGATAATATTACATAACTAGATAAGTTAAAATGTATTTATAATTGCCAAATAGTGTTAAAAATGAAAGTTAATATTAGAACTTTTAATACCTAGCGTTAATCCTGTAAATAAAAGTTGTATAAAATTATCATTTAAACAAGATTTTTAGCACATGACACCATCAGCGGAAATGGGTCACAAAATGTAGCAGTCCATAGTAAAAAATAACAAATGAACTCGCACTTAGAAAATTATTAGCTCAAAAAGTACTAAAGCTAGGAAGTTAATTCTGATTTAATTTTTTAAATTGGAAGTTTGCTATATACAACTGTAATATTTTAATAATTTTTTTAATTAAATTTTTTTTTAACCCAAGTACCTACATAGCGTATCTGGAAATTTGTTTGAAAGAAATTTGATGGATCGAAAATTGTTCAAAAAAAATTTTGGTTTAAATTTTTTGTAGTTGTTAAGTCTTAGAGATGCAACTTTGAAATTGTGAGATTTATTCTAACGGAATTTTTTTAAATTTAAACAATAAGAAACATTGTACAGTAGCCTAATTATTTAATAATTAGATAATTAAGTAAAAATAGAAATACAGCCACTAAAAAGTGAAAAACATATACTCTCTAAAGGTTTTGCTATCATTTCAGCGTTTTTATTTATAGAACATTGGATAATCACATTTTATTTTTTGAAGCGTGACATCACTGATTTCTAACAATATAAGCTAATTTTTAAAGGTAACTAGGGGTATCAACCCAATGTGAGTGTGATAAATGGCCTTCATTAAAAGCTCAAAAAAAAAATTAAGTTAAAAAAAACAACATTAGTTGATTGCTCCATGTACATGAAGAAAGAGAGCATCATGTCGATACAATTTATTGGAAATGCCAAAACTTAAACAACAAAAAATTTGTGTCCATGTTGAATTGTAACTGCTAATAGTAGTAATAGTGGTGTAACTAAACAAAGCAAAAAATATAATCATACATCTGATAGCTCCAAAAGTGAAGTGAATAAAATAATGAACAGGATTAAAAGAGGTGCTATAGCTACATGTGACTCTCCTTAATTGAATTATTTAACCCCTGCAGCGAAAGGTCAACTCCCTTAAATTAAACTATAGTTAACAACATAAACTGAATTTTTAAAAAAAATTTACAACAAAATTCCGTCTGGACAAATCTCCCCATTTCTAACTCTCACCTCTAGGACCTACCAACAAACAAGACAAATCAACAAATAATCAACCAAATTTCTGTTAGACCAAACTTCCTTTTGACCTAATTTCCGTTTTACTAAACTTCTGTTTGACCAAACTTCTATTACATGAATTTCCAGTAACCGCATCCTAGAGCTCTTCAGGTGAAGAACAAATATAGACAGCGTGCTAAATGAAATTGCCTGGATTCAGTATTCATTCATTCATCCCCGATCATGGTTAATTAAAACAATAAATGAAAATAAATATGAACTAATTTATTTCTGGTGGCCTTATCTCATATTTTGTCCATAATACTCAAGCATATGTAATTAATTGTCAATTGGCTGATGATATTTTCTTTAAGACCGTTGTGCCACATTGCTGTAAATGTCAAAAAGTAGCCTGGAGCTTAATTTTTCTTTCAAGTGCAAATTGTTAAATTGCTGTAATTGAGGTACAGAAAGACAGTTTATGATTTTGAATAATAAAATCTATACAAAATGAAATAAGTTGATACTTCTGAAAACACAACCAATACATTATTATAAATAGAAATGTAATAAAATTTGCCTTTCTAGCATAGCTTACCTAAGATTAGGGTCTGCAAACTATGTTCATAAAGGTCTTTTAGTAATAATTTTCGCCACTGTGAACCAACAACAAAAAATGGGAATGGTTGAAAGGTCCTATGCATTTTTTAATTCATAGTTATGTTTTATGTCTATCTTGACATATTTTGTTATTTTCAGTTGAAGTGGAAACTAAAGAGAAACTAACTGTGGTGAGTACAGTAAATAAAAACAGAAAGACGTTACATCCCATTTCATAGTTTATTTGAAATGAGGCCACCTGTACCTTGTTCAAGATTTGTATATATATATATATATATATATATATATATAAATATATATAATTTTATTTTATTTTTGTAATGCTCACTTATAGTAACTTATAGCACATTTTTAACCACTTTTATGCTTCTGCAGCTTATTGATTACTTCAGGTGCAGATTCTAGCTGATTAATTATGTACAACAAAGTCAGCAAGCAACAAAACGATTAATATAGTTATAAAATCATTTAAAGATTATATTTAACTGTGACAAATTTTTAAGCCCCCTGAATATTCATGTTTAAATTAGTATGAAATCATTTTTGCTGGATGTCTTATGTTGTTTTTGCTGTCATTTGTCATGCTTGAATTTACTTGTAGATAGAGGGCAAAAAAATAATCCCAGAGAAGCAATACAAAGTCCGCACAATAAAAGCTCCAAGTGGGTGTCCCCTATGTGAATTTCAAGACAAGTTAACATACAGAGTAAGTGTTTTTCTTATTAATTATTCCTTAAATGATTTGAAACATGGGTTGGCAAACTTGCTCTGCTAGCCGAATCTGCCTGTCTTTTCCTTTTATCATGTTCTAAATTACAAGCCAAGAAAAGAATGTTCATGTAACTTCTTAAAAAGGTTCAAGTATGTGCTATTTTGGAACTTTCTGTGGTAGACTTATAACTTTCATTCATAACTTATTGCTGATTTCTACAAGACACCACATAGTTACTATTACTACTACTGGTATACCTCCATCTCACCCAACGTACCAAAAATCAACTGTCCCATTTACACGCACATGAAATAGCACCCTGTCCAGGCTATAGACCAATGGTGGAAAACTTATGGCACACATGCTGCAGTGGGCACTCAGAGACCTCTCTGTTAGCACATGATGTCATGAGTTTTTTTCTAAACTAGAACATCTGTATTTAGTTTAATTTAGTTAGTTTCCAAAAAAGTGTTCGCCATTCACTAGCCCCCGTTTAAAAAAAAAAAAAATTCTTATGATAACCACTTGGCTATAAAAATTGTCTCAAATCTCTAGATGGGATAAAGTAAAGGGTTGTCACATAAGTAGACATGCCTTACCATCTTACACCAACATTTTTCTAATGATAATTTGTCAGTGTGATTCCTCCAAAGTATTTTATTTGTAAGAGTAAGAGTGAAAGGACATTATATTAATCGCATAATTTAATCTAAGTGCACAATTCATAAACGGCTATGTTATGTCACCCACATTTCAGGGAAAAGGAGAACTTTTTTTGCCCAATAGTATTGATGCTATGGGAAAAATATAGGACCATCCATGGACAAATCTGAACCTTTTAACTCAAACTTTTAAAATATTTAACCAACATTTTCCACTACATGCCAACATTTGATTATTTACATCAGTGGTCAGGAAACCCTAAAAACCTCCCACCTTAACCCTCCTCCGAATTCTTCTCCTTTCACTTCCTTGACCCTTACCTCCAACCCTCTCTCACACCATCCCCTTATAGATTCCTCACACCACATTACAGTGGCCCTAATTATTTGCAATTACTTTAAGAAGCATTAATAATTTGATATAATATATAATTCATACAATTTCTGTTAGTGGATGCTTTTGTCATACACAAAGATGAGAAAGAAAGAAAAGCAAAGAAGTACAAAGTTGCTGATTTATTTGTTGCTTCAAGCTGTTGCATTATAATAATAATACGTTTGAAAAAGCAATGGAAATACTGAACACACAACTTTTCGATATATGCAGATAACTTTAAACAATAACTGAATAAATTACAGAAGTATTTAGCTACTGTAATATTTATTGATCACCATCTTTTATGGTAGGTTCCCTCAGCACCTTAGCATTCCCAAAATCATCAATATCGTCAAATACACAGCAATTTATTTATATAATTTATTTATTTGCCATTTATTTTCGAAAGTATACAAAATTTCATTTGATGTTAAGCAACAGCTGTCTCCCAAATTTATAACATTCACATAAAATTATAGTAAATAAGACATTCTAACTAAGATAGCAAGAGAAATTACTGCTCCCTCATCAATAGAACCTTTACCAGTATAAGCTTTTTTCATCTGTTGCTTTCACTTTCAGCCTACTTATATATTTTCCATTTCAGGATGTTCTTATTTTGCAACAGTTCTTATCCCCGGATGGTCAGATCTTACCGAGGCATGTCACTGGAGTATGTTTTACCATGCAGTGGAAATTAGCAAACATTCTGTACCAATCTTATTCTGCAGGTATTTAAATAAAAAAAGAGTTGAGATTGCAATCATGGTTGCTTTTTTTTCAATAATCTAACTTTATTGCTTTTGAAAATTTGCGTTCATCATAGCTTATTACATAAACTCAAAGAAATATTACTTAAGCATTTTAATCTTATAACCAATCATTGCATGTGGCCCGCCAGCACCCACTTTGCGGCCCTTGAAGTAACGAAATATTATTTTTTATTATTATTTCTTAATAGCCTTACCCCCTGTCCTATTTTCTTTAGGCCCACACAAGTTTTTCATAAAGTATTATAGCCCACCTTACATTTTTGAGTTGTGCAGGCCTGACCTACACCAATGGCTTTTAATTGAAGTTAAAGTCAATCACAAAATAAAACCAAGAGTATTGCTTTAATCAATATTAAAGTATTCTTTAGTAATTTTCTTTGTCAGAAACATCATTGACACCCTCTATTAATAGAATTTTAAAAAATCTGTATCATTGTATATTAGAAAAGCTTGGCGGTGTGGAGGGAGGCCACAATATGTTGGCCTCTACACCCATGATTTTGGCCTCTACACCCATGATTTGGCTTGCTAGTTATTAACTAAATTATTTTTAAAAATATAGAATAGAAGCTCTTGGAACTTTCATATCAATTTTTATAAGTTTTATTGCAACAATAAGGATTATTTCAATTTTACCAGTATACATTTTCTCAGTCACTAGTGAATGAACGCAAAAATATAACAACAATAATTTAACCCACCTAAAAATTCACTTAGTATTTCAGTTGGGCCAAGGCCCATCACCAGATTACATCTCAAAAGTTTGATTTGATGAATATTATAGTGGCCTAAAAGTTACAAAGTATAGTATTTGAATTTGTCACCCAAAGCACACATTTTTAAAAACTATTCAAGGAATATTGGCTAGTTAGATGTGGGTCAAAAATTGATTGCAAGATTTATCCAGACCTTCAAATGGACGGACATTTAACAACCCTGAAAAAATAGAAGACAATAGAAATTGATTTCCTCTGAGTCTAACAAGCCTTACAACATTATATCGGTTCTCTTTTGCTGTTGAGCATGCACAGTCTATTTACTGAATGCCTTTGCAATCATAAAATTTAACAATGTTGTGAAATTCCATATCATCAGTCACAGAGCCAACATATATAAATATAAGTAATTGAGATTTACTTAGATCTAATATTTATTAACTTTATCAGTAATTTTCCAAAAAATTTGTTTAAAGATTTTCTTAAGCTTTATTAACATTGAATTATTTTTTTTTGGCTTGGAATAACTCTCTTAAAGATAGTACTTGTATTGAACCTTGGACTTTTTCTATGGCTAAACACTCATGGTTACTTATATTGAAAAGTCACAAATATATTACCATCATGTGTTGGCCAGATAGACTTGTAATTAATCTGAAATTTAAAAAAACACACTTTAAATTAGCTTTGCTTCAGTCAAGCCCCTATAATTTCTGTTCAAAAATAATGTCAGCTTTTATTTTAATACTGAATATGTGTGTTGTAAGGATAGCTGATTTGTTTTTATTTTTCAGGTCTTTTACCAAAGTACAAACCAATCTTGCCTGTTAATGAGGATCCAGCGACATATGATAAAAATTACAAGTGGAGAAAAAACAATGTCTACTTTGATGACTTCAGCATAGAGAATCCTCTATGATCTGCAAATAATATTTCTTGAATTCTAATAAATAATACTAATTATCAAATGATTTTAACAGCTGGTCTTATTTTGCTTTCTTCAATTTGTTTTTTAATTATAAAGAGATATTTCCTACAAGTAAAGTCTCAAAAGCTTTTTTTTTTCAAAAATTATTTAGCACAAATAACGATTTTTGTTTATTAATTAAAGGAAGGGAATAAAAATTTGAAAGGGATATGCATCTTGCTTTTATATTTAATTTTTATCAAAATTAGTTCTGATGGAATCAAGCTTGAATTTTATATGTTCATTTCATAGCTGGTGGAAACAAAGACAAACTGACATCAATCCCATATGATGCACTCAAGTGACTAGTGCCATAGAGCAGTAGTTTTAAGTGTGAACAGGAAGTGAGTCTTCTCATTTTAGGAAACTTACACAGATAAAATGCACTACTACCTTGAGCAATGCTGTTAAATGATACATAACTAATTATATTGCCCAGTGGTTTTCAATGGGTGTGTTGCACGATTTTAACATTGATATTTTAAAAATTGCAATATTTTAATTTTTGGAACATTTTTTTAAAAACAAAAAATCTATGGCCATTTTAAAGACGGCACCAAGACCAATTAATGAAATCACAAAGCAGTGTAACCTTATCAATATCAGTTAGGTTCAGCTTGGAGTTTGAACCAATCTGAACTATACTATTTATTTTACCTAATAATATATAGAGAAAATTAAAGAAATTTAGTGTTTCAATTTGACTGTACCGCAAACGGAAAAAAGGGTTGAAATCACTGATGATACTATAGTGCTGGATAATTTCACCAAGAGCGTCTGTGTTTTCACAAGTTGTTGAAATTGACACATTGAATGATGTGATGGGTACTGTGGTTAAATCTGTCATTTATATTCGCAGCATCAGCGCTCACTAACGGTTATAAGCCCATTAAAAAGGAAGTTATGTATTGTTAATTTCAATATGATGTTTAGTATGTAAATGCTCCATGGTTTTGGTGGTCAAAGAAAAGTTCTGGATATTTTCTTAGCTTTTAATTAAATTTAATTTCTCCAAATTGGTGAATTTTATTTGAAGATCAAAATCAAACGGAGAAGTAGTTAAGTGCCCGCCGGGACGGGCCGAGCATTTTGCCCCCCCCCCCCCCCCCCTCC